GGACGTGAAACAAAAGAGGTTGGTGTTTGTAAAATTTGGGCACTCACAATGAACTAAACCCATATCCTCTCTTAATTTTGTACTGCAGGGTACAATTGGAACAGTAATGGCAACGCTACGAATTTTACAATTGCTGGTAAAAAAGCACGATGCTTTGCACCACTTGATTCTCAACGAAATGCTTCAAGTAGATGAATTGATGTGGAAAGGTTTTTTTGCTTTTTTTCGTTTACTTGTTGAGTCTTCATATCTCAAGCTTTTTTCGTTATCATTCTTAGACCCGTGGATCTCTTGGATTCTGGAGAGGACAATAATTCCACTTTTTTTCCTTTAAAAATATCGGAACAGTCATTTTTCTAAAAATGCGTAATTTTTTATTAGTGTTCAATTAGCCGGTCTTTTCAGATATTCTTCCACAATTGTTTGCACGGCTGAATCATCCAGTGCGTGCAGTACGTGACACGCTTTGCACTATACTGGAAAGAATTGCAGCTACATCACCCCACGCGCTTTGCTATCCTGCAATAGTTGGTGCCACCCAACCCATTGTTATTCACAACGAATATGTAGATAACGGTGAAGTGGAGAAAAGTGATTTCGTTGATGTTATCGATGAAGAGAAGAAGAAACGTGCTGATCAGGTTTGTTGTGAACTAGTAATCTGACACTGAAGAGCACTAATAAAAGTTAACTGAATCAAGAAGTTAATAATTCAGGTTATACAAAATATAAAACTTTTTTCAGTGCTAATAAATCCTTTGTGCCTACCAGTAATGGTATAATACGTTATGTTATCCCGATGTCGTTTTGTTCGAACTTTAATCTTTACCTTTTGTATAGATTTGAAAGAAAACTGATGCAGTATTCTTCAGGATCGATCACTAATGTTTGAATGTTGTCAACGCATTGTAACACGAATGCAAACATTGTTTCCTGATCTTGTCAAGGATGTTACTGAATTTGTTAAGGTACTATTACGATATTTTGTAGTTGCGTAGTAAATTGGATTACCATGGTAGATTAGACTACGACATAACTGGATTATAGGAGTTACAAAGGATTGATATGCTGCATGAAGAGCGTTGGACTTTTGTTTTGACGAATTTGGATCTCGAAATGAATCGTCGAATTTTACAAATTGAAGCAGAAATGATGAAAACTTTGATGAATGCACATTTAAATGATAATGAAAAAAGGAGATTATCCACGAGAAGACACTTATATTCACATCTCTGGTAATATATTGGTATATTTATCTTAGGCACTTAATTTCGTCATTGCGATATTCACATCTCTGGTAATATATTCGTATATTTATCTTAGGCACTTAATTTCAATTTAAATACTTGGTTCAAATGAAAAATTAAAACTGGCATTTTAATGAATTTTCGCACAATATAAAGACTTCTCCATGAACAAATTAATAACCAGGGAAGGTGGAAGAAATGGAAAATATGAATCACGAAACTGATTTACAGAAGTTCAAACTTCTGTGCACAAAGCCAAAAATTTTGTCTTCATGCATGTTCTCTCTTTAACAGTGATCTTTTGCTGAATGCTCTACTTGTTCATAGTTATATAGAAGGAAAGCCTCGAGATCATGAGTGCTGCACTGAAATGTAAAATGAGACCTAACATTACCTGTTCCGTCGCTATTTATCAAATGTCTAATAATGTCGCTGATGGAAGAGCAAAGTAGAAACCATTTTGGGGTAAAATGTAACAAGTTTTGCAGTTTTTAAAAGTTGCTTCCCAGCGCTAAAAGAATTTTTTCCAGGTGTATCGCATTGTCGAGGACTTATATGAAAAAACATGTGCTAGTGTACCTGTTACAGTAAATGAAAAACAGTTTCAAGACACATACCTTACGACTATTGAAGAAGCCATGCAAACCCTCCGATTAAATAAATCAGACCCACGGCAGGCCTGGACTTCATTCAAACTTGTAATTTCTCATTTTTTCATGGCTCTTGCCAAATGAATATAATGAAATAGTTATAATGATAACTGATTACCGAAAACTATGGGTTCAATAA